CCTCCCCCAGAATCTCCAGAAGGAATGCAGCCCTGCCAATGCCTTCATTTTAACCCAGTATGAGGTATTTTCCACTTCGGACCTCCAGAACTGCAAGATAGTAAATACGTGTTGTTTTAAGCCACCAGTTTGTAGTAATTTGTTACAGCAGCAACCTATAGAAACTAATACACTCTGCTGATGTCTTTGTTTCCTCTCCCTATTTCTCTCTCTAGGTTTACATTTTAAAACTCTTTCCATCAAGGCCAGGAGCTGTGGCTCATGCCTGTAATCACAGCACTTTGGTGGGCTGAGGCGGGAGGATCACTTAAGGTCAGGAGTTCGAGACCAGCCTGGCCAACATGGTGAAACCCTGTCTCCACTAAAAATACAAAAAATTAGCTGAGCATGGTAGCATGCATCTGTAATCCCAGCTACTCAGGAGGCTGAGATGGGAGGGTTGCTTGAATCCAGGTGGCAGAGATTGCAGTAAGTCAAGATCATACCACTGCACTTCAGCCTCGGTGACAGAGCGAGACTGTGTTTCAAAAAGAAAAAAAAAGTTAAAAATAAAAACTCTTTCCTTTTTTAGCATTAAATCAAAAGTCCCCTAGTTAATTCCCACAATTAGGAGAGCCCACCAGTTCCACAAATAGGAAACCTCTGCGCTGCTCTTGCTCATGAATTGTATTTGCTGTTTCATAAATTGTTTATGTTCTTTGAGCCACCAATGATTTAATGTCAGAATAATAGGGATCAATAGAGTCTCTCAAGATCCTACAATGAGCTGCACTCTCTTCTGTAGCCAACTATCCAGCCGTCCATACAAGAAGTATTTATTGGCTGCCACCGTGTATCAGGCATTGAGCCAGTCCTGAGATGTGAAGACACACTGCACCGTCTAAGCCTTTACAGAGGCCATAGATCTTGGATTTTTATGGCTTGAGAACAACATGCATTGTTTCTTTCCAGGAAGCTAATTGGGGTACATGGAGCCTCTTTGACTAAGTAGCAAGGAACGGGAAATGCACTCTGGTTTCATCTTGGCTTCCAGTTTGTGTGTTCAGACCCAGGTAAGAGTTAAAGAGTTTGATGATAGATAAGCACAGATGTAAAACAGTGCAGTCTAGTGCCTCTTTGCTTAGGATAGTATCTCCCCTCTCTTTATCCTCTCCAGCTCTGCCTTCCTGCCTTTGACGCAGGGAGCTAAGGGTCTGAATAAAACCTGTTGGAGGTTGCAATTAAATCTTTGTGGACAAAGGGCACACACACGCACATGTACACAGCATCCTCAGATAACAGGAGGCAATAAATCCATCAGCACATCCACATTCAGAGAACGGCATCCCTGCTGTCTTGCTAACAGCTGCCAGTACCTCCCTGAGTGCCTCACACCGAGATGGGCTCTAAGGTAAGATTTTTCTCTCTCCGGACTAATTTAATCTTTCCTTGTCATTTGTGTCTCTCTCAGAGGATTTTGACTGCTAAGTAAAGTTTACTATTGATTTGTTGGGAAATTATTGGTTTTGTTTGTTTTTGTTCTGGCATTTTGGGGTGTGTGTGTGTGTGTGTGTGTGTGTGTGTGTGTTTTCTGTCTTTGAAGTATTTACTTCATTCACTATGTCTTTTACTTTTCCTTCGTTTGTCTTTTATTCTTATCCATACATATGCCAAGTCAATTTGTATTCAGAAATACCTAATTTATACAGAGAAGTGAAAGATCTTAAGTAATTGCATGTATTTACTGGTTAAAACTTAACTGATAATTGGTTCAGTTAGGACTTTGGTCACTTTAATCCGTAGTAGTGAGCGGGTTCTTCTAGCCCTGGGCTTAGAACAGAGTAGCTCAGTGCTTGAGATACTCCCAACATCTGAGGCTGACTATTGAACTCCACTGATAATTATTTAAAATTATTTACTTTAATTATAAAAGTAGCTCATTATATAATATTTAGAAATACACAGAAGATAACTAAAGTCATTGATTATAAATAACTGGCATTTGGGTATCCTTCTACTCTCTCAAAAATGTGCCCATATATTTATTTTTAGACAATTGAGTTCAAGCTGTAAATACAGTTTAAGTTCCCTTTTTTACTTAACATTATAGTAATAGTATTTTCTACATCATTAAAATTATTTGAAAATAAAATTTTTAAGAGCTGTTTAATAATCTACCATTAACATGTTTGACTTTTTTTCACTAATAAAAATTATTCAGCAATTGATCATTTTGAGCATAAATCTTTGGCTGTACCTCTGATCATTTTTTTTTTTTAAATTTAGGATAGGTTCCTTGAAGTACAGTTGCTAAGTCAAAGAGTATATGATTTTTAGGGCTTGACAGATTTCATGATGGTAATCTATTTTAAAATTTAAATGACTGGTATTGTTTATACCACAACAGAAACCATGTCAAAGAAAATGAAATTCTTCCTGGAAACTCTTATTACTTGAAGGTACTGTGACTTAATGCTGACTAATGATATAAAATCCCAAATAGAAAACTAACCATGAAAATCAGTATTTTATTTTCACAGACTAAGGCATCTTTCTGAGCAGGGGTTTATAGCTCAAACAAAAGAATGAGAGTGCTTCTAGAACCACAGGGCAAGGGGAAATGGTAGAGGATAAGCCTGCAAATTGAAAAGTTTGGGGTTTTATTCTGGTTTGACTCTAATTGTGAAACCCCAAACAAATCTAACCTCCAGAGGCTCAGGTTTCTCATCTGTGAGATGAAGGTTGGTGTAGGCCAGTGTTTCTCAGTGGGCAGCCCAGGTGACACTGTGCCACGTGAAATATTTTGGGGTAGCACCTAGAACATAGACCATACTTTTTTTGCATGCCACATAAAATTACTTTTTAAAGCATGATATCAATATTAATGTTGGCTTTAAAATTTTTTTGAGAGATGGGGTCTTGCAATGTTGTCCAGGCTGGACTCAAACTCCTGGGCTCAAGATATCCTCTCACTTCAGCCTCCCAAGTAACTGAGACTCCAGCACATGCCACCATGCCTGGCAGTATCCCAATATTTTAAGAGAATGTATTTAGAAGAAACGATGAAGTAAATGGTAGTACAGGTGGTCCTCAGATGTGACATAAACCGTCAAGGTGATAGGCAAGTAAATATCAGATGTTTGAAAAACACAGGGTTAAGTCATCTGTAGAGCAACTATTTATGTCTGGATTTATATCAAGGCATTAATTTCAAGAGAATTTAATGAATTACAGGTTGATTTCAAGGAAATTAATGTCTCGATATAAATCCAGAACCTGGACATAAATAGCTAGTAAGCAATGCTCACCTAGAAGGCATCTGGGAACCAGGTAGAGTTACTGAGATGTGTAAGAAGTGAACAGTGATACAGACATGGAGATGTTTCCAAATATTATCCTACTACTTGCAACCCTTCACACTTTTCGTTTTAATAGTGAGTTTCATTCGTTTGGGCAGACTCCCTCCCCTCTTCTATAAAGGCTGCAGGAGACCTGTAGCTGTCACAGGACCTTCCCTGAGAGCCTGCAGAGGAAGACTGCCCCAGCCCAGCCCTCATCATGCTCCGGACTGTTCTGGGCGCTTCCCAGGGGTTGCTGAAGGAGGGGAGAGAGTCTCGGCAGCTGGTGCTGGTAGTGGTATTTGTCGCTCTGCTCCTGGACAACATGCTGCTTACTGTGGTGGGTACGTTTGGGGGTCTTTGTGCTGAGGGTTAATTTGTTTGGGAGGCAGCGTACATCCTGCTTGATTTCAACAGTGAATGCATCTGAGAATTTTCCTTTTTATGCTCAAAAACATACAGAGGTTGTTGAGGACTGGAAAAAAAAAAAGGCAGAAAATGGAGTCTGAAGTTTATCAAACATAGCTAAAAGACTCCAGAGGTAAAGAGAAGGGGGTCCAGAGAGGGTCTGACTGGAGAAGAGGATGGTCTGGAGCCAGAACTGCTTTTCTTCCTCCCCAAACTGTCTTCCCAAGGTGCTAATGACTCCAAGTGCCTCTGGGACAGCATCTTCTCAAGGCAGTGCCTTTCCGGCCTCCGCTCTGTAAAAACAGCAAATTTTATTTGGATACCTGATTTCTTATCAAGACCTTACCTTCTATGTGGTTCTTTCCTTTGGAATCCTGCTTTTTTTAGTTGATACTCTTCTAATCATTACATTAAGTTATACCTGCGTATAAATGGGTACTAAGAGGTTTCCCCTCTTGGGTAAAATATGTGTGTTTTTTGTTTGTTTTTTGTTTTGTTTGAGAGGGAGTCTTCCTCTGTTGCCCAGGCTGGAGTGCAGTGCTGTGATCTTGGCTCACTGCAACCTCTACCTCCCAGGTTCAAGCGATTCTTCTGCCTCAGCCTCCCGAGTAGCTGGGACTATAGGCTCCTGCCACCATGTCCAGCTAATTTTTGTACTTTTAGTAGAGATGGGGTTTCATCATATTGGCCAGGCTGGTCTTGAACTCCTAACCTTGTGATCCGCCTGCCTCGGCCACCCAAAGTGCTGGGATTACAGGTGTGAGCCACCACACCTGGCCAAATATATGTTTTTAAATAAGGATCTATCTGAGACAAGTTGTTAATCCAGTACAATCACTTCTCATTATTCATGGTTCTGTCATTACAGTTATGCTCTATAAAGTTGCTGCAAACAGTGGATTAGTGAATACTGAATCATTGCCCCCAGGGGAAACACACACACACACACACACACACACACACACACACACACACACGATTATAATCTTAACTCTGAAACATCCTGGTAAATCATATTTTTTTTATAAAGAGAAAAAGAATTTCAGAAATGTTAAGTGACTTGCCCAAGGCCTCTCCACTAAGAGGTGCCAGAGTTGAGATTCAAGCCCTGTCCAGTGGTCCCAGAGTTGAGGCTCCTCTGACCACCCTGCCCTGCCTCCTCCCATCCCCCTCCTCTGGCCATGTCTGTGTGAGAGTTGGACATGTCGGTGAAATGTCGTGGTAGCTTAGTGTGTGTTGGTTTGGGTGGTTACATGTCAATCTAAGTGAGTAGGAGATTCCTATGTGGAATCCATGAACAGTGAGGACTAACTGTATAAGGTCAGAATTTAGCTACTTTAGCTAATAAGATAACTTGGGCAGGCACAGTCTTTTAGTAGGGTTTGTCTAAAGGGCACATGCCACTTTAGACACCATCCTTGGGCATAAGGCCGAACCTCATCATAGTGCCCCTGGACCACGTAGTAGTAGGATGACATCTGTCCTTAGCCCCCAACACCTGATCTCTTTGACTTTCAGTGGTAAGATGACATCTTTCCTTAGCTCCCATTACCTGTCCTCCTTGACTTTCAGTGCCAATTGTGCCAACCTTCCTATATGCCATGGAGTTCAAAGAAGTCAACTCTTCTCTGCACCTCGGTCATGCGGGAAGTTCCCTGCATGCCCTCACCTCTCCTGCCTTTTCCACCATCTTCTCCTTCTTTGACAACAACACCATGGCTGTTGAAGAAAGCGTGCCCAATTCCACAGCATGGGTGAATGGCACTGCCAGCACCGTTCCCCCTCTGGCCACTGAAGCCATCTCAGCTCATAAAAACAACTGCTTGCAAGGCACAGAATTCCTGGAGGAAGAGAATACCCGGGTCGGGGTTCTGTTTGCTTCAAAGGCTGTGATGCAACTTGTGGTCAACCCATTCGTGGGCCCTCTCACCAACAGGTATCTCACTGGGCGCAGGGCTCCACGGAGTACTCAGGAGTGGGAGGACTAGAAAAGTATAAAAAGGGGGTTGGAAGTGAAAAAGAAGAAATACTCACTTCTCTGGTTCCCCGGGGGAGTTAGCTCTTTGGAAAGCTCATTACTCAAATAATAACATGTTACTGATGAACTGTCATGGGCTCAGATTTTCTTTGTGATATTGAGCACTGAGAGGAGAACCAGTGAACAGCAGTGTACTGTGATGTTCTATCAGTGACCCGGAGCATGGCTTGAATGGGAGGAGGGTGGGAATGTGTCAGCCCTGTTGTAATCTAGAGCACTGGCTTCCCAGTAGTTGTATTTAAGATTATTCTGATGTTTTCAAGAGATATGCACTCTGCCTAGGCTATCCTTTCTGGAGATGAGAATATTGGTCCTGATCTATGGTCATATGTGCATGTTTGTTTATTTGCTAGTACTCATTCACGTGTTCTATTTCATCTCCACACTACATTCAGAGCCATGTTTTACCATGCACCCAAATAGCTGCATTTCTGCTCCCACTTACATTTAAAAACGTCGTCCAAGTGTAAGAGTGACTGTTGGAAATGTTTCTTTTTTTTTTTTCAATTCCCTTTTAGGATCGGATATCATATCCCCATGTTTGCTGGCTTTGTTATCATGTTTCTCTCCACAGTTAGTAAGTAATTTGCTTCCTCTTTTCTTCCCTTCACTGATTACCATTGATTTTATCAAGTGAATGTGGTATAGATAGCAGGGTAGCCTCGAAAGTAATTAGGCATCTCCGCAGGGTGTGGTGGCTCACGCCAGTAATCCCAGCACTTTGGGAGGCCAAGGTAGGTGGATCACTTAAGGTCAGAGTTTGAGACCAGCCTGGCCACCTTGGGGAAACCCCATCTCTACTGAAAGTACAAAAATTCACTGGGCGTGGTGACACATGCCTGTAGTCCCAGCTACTCAGGAGCCTGAGGCAGGAGAATTGCTTGAGCCCGGGAGGCGGAGGTTACAGTGGGCTGAGATCACACCGATGCATTCCAGCCTGGGCCACAGCACGACTCTGTCTGGGAAAAAAAAAAAAAAAAAAAAGGCAAGTAATTAGTCATCTGACTAAGCAGACTTGAATATTGATTTAAATGTTCTGCTATTTTTGGTATGTGGACTAAAACAGTCTAGTTGGAATTGGTCTATTCTGCTATAGAAGAACAGATATTTACTTCAGCTGGACATCATGAAAGCTGTTTGCATATGGGTGCTATGGTGCGTGTGTATGTGTGTGTGTTATGTATGTATCAGTAATCCCTTGAGCAAGTTTAATACAAATTTTCCATCTATAAGAAGAAATGATATTATTTTGATATGCCACCGTAAAGGGCAACTAACAAAAAAAAATGGAAATTAGACAATAACATCTGGAAAATTCCAAAAAGCCTACTGCTTTTCAGGTAAGGACTTTAAAGGTTAAGCTGAGAAAAGTAAATTTGCTAAAGAAACAAGAGAGGGAAAGACAAATAGTCTATCCAGGATCAGCTAAATGTTTCTAATAAAATGGAGATGGAATAAAAACAGTACATGAGAAAAATAAGTCTGGAAATTGACGCTGAGAAGCAAGGGAAGAAGGAATGAAAAGGGGTTAGCATTTGGAGGTGAAGGAGGGGGAAGGCAGCCTATGGATCCAGCCTTGGTTTCTGATGGCTCTGCTGATCCTCTTTCTCCCTCACGTTTTTCTTATTACCTTTCTGTTACTTACCTACTTTCTTTCTTCCTCCTCTTCAACTTTTCTTCTTTCCCAGCATAGGACTTGATTCCTATCAACCCAATATTTAACAAGAATTGATTGCATTCTGGGCTGGAAGTCTGCAAAATGCAAGAAGTTGAGATGTGAGATTCTCTCTAAGAACTGCATCTTATTTGTGAAATTTTAGCCGACTTGAAGAAATTCAACTTAGCACCATTCATGGAACTTCTAGAAGCTCAGCCTATGCTAGTTAGCAAATTTAAAAATAATAAGATGCCCTATTTAATCAAATGAGGATTAACATTTATTCCATAAAACTTTATGGAGTGTGTGTGTAATGCCCAGATGACTACAGTCACATAAAGAATGAAACGACGTGATTCCAGGTATCAGAAGTTTATGATGGTTGCCTGGGGGCATACACTGAGAAGTAAGAGAATGCCATGTGCTAGTGGATCTCAGACTTTCTAGCATGAGACCCTTGACTGATTCTCTGCTAAGAATTCATGGTTTAAAAGCTTTTCTTATCTACCACACTGTATATATTAAATAATTATTATTTCCATAAGATAGCAGTGTTGCTATACTGAGTTGGCCTAATTCTAACAACAACGACAAAAAAATACATTTGATGTTTAGGGTATCCTTGTAGCATTGTCCAGTGTTTTAAAAAATACTTGAAAGAGATTGTTGTTGCCCATTACTACCCTTAACCCCTCCAACCCCCAACTAGAAGCCATGCCTAATGTAATCAAAAGTGAAATGGTGGCCCATGTAAAGGGTGCAAAGTGGAAAAAAAAAAAGCTTTGTTTTCCTAAATAGAATGACCAGTTCTCCTGGTTTGCCTGGAATTGAGGGGTATCTTAGTCCATTTAGCATTTCTATAAAGGAGTACCTGAGGCTTGGTCATTTGTATTAGGAAGAGGTTGGTTGGCTCATGGTTCTGCAGGCTCTACAAGAAGCATGGTGCCAGCATCTGCTTCTGGTGCTGGCCTCAGGAAGCTTTCACTCATGGTGGAAGGTAAAGGGTAGCTAGTTGTGCAGAGATGAGAGAAGAAGCAATAGAAAGCAGAGGGAACTGCCTGGCTTTTTTTTTTTTTTTTTTTTAACCACCAGCTCTTGAGAGAACTGTAGAGTGAGAGCTCATTCACCCCCTAAGGGAGGATGTTGAACTATTGATGAGGAATTCACCTCCATAACACAAAAACCTTTCACTGGACCCCACCTCTAACACTGGGGATCAAATTTCTTTTCTTTTCTTTTTCTTGAGATGGAGTTTCACTCTTATTGCCCAGGCTGGAGTGTAATGGCCAGTGGCAAAATCTTGGCCTACCAGAATCCCCACCTCCCGGGTTCAAGGGAATTCTCCTGCCTCAGCCTCCCTAGTTGCTAGTATTACAGGCATGAACCACCACACCTGGCTGATTTTGTATTTTAGTAGAGAGGCGTTTCCTCCATGTCGGTCAGGCTGGTCTTGAACTCCCGATTTCAGGTGATCCACCCTCCTCAGTCTCCCAAAGTGCTGGGATTATAGGCATGAGCCACTGTGTCTGGCATGGGGATCAAATTTCAACATGAAATTTGGTGGGAACACACAGCTCATATCCACACTCTAGTGAGGGGCTTCCCGGCATGTAAGGCTTTCTGTTCCTGTGGGGTTTTTTTGACTTTCAGTTTTAAAAACAAGGAGGTTCTGGGTAAACCAAGATGAGTGGGTCACTCTGTTCTCAAAGAACTTTGGAAGACTAGACTGAAGAGACTGGAAATAACAAAGCCTGAGATAAGACGCTGGTGGCCAGGAAAGGGAGACCAAGACTGTGCATCTTTGTGAGACAAGGAGTAGTTCAGTGTGATCATGTCTGTCGGGAAATAATGGGAGAGGATTATAAACACAGCTGAAGACATCTGTTGAATGGGCAAAGGGAATAAAGTTCTTCTGATTCAGACACTTCAAGGAGATTATTCTTACTCTAGGAGATGTTGTTCTGGGATTGGGGTTGAGGCATGTCTGGACTTAACTACCCTGACCACCAGCACCCTCTGATTTAGTTTTTGATAACATATTCTGTTGGTTCTCAGTTTCATGTGTGTTCATCTTCAATAGACTGACCCTCTTCAAGGGCGTGAACTAAATGTTATTTTTATTTTGCATTTGCTATAGAGTCTAGCATAGCTGCATGTTCAATAAATGAACTTAATAAATGCTGATTCTGTCTGATTAAAAGATCTTTCAGTATAAGATAAAAAGAAGGATCTGATTGTATCACAGGATAGTATTTTCTACCCGATTCCTATAGTCTTCAAAGCACCTACTTATTGTCACTGTACTCCAGATGACCCTATGGGACCCAGCAATGGTAAAGACCAGACCTGGGTGTTGCACATGTAGAATCCAGGAGTATGGTCTAAGAACCAGTTTCCAGCCCAGGACACTGTGCTTCATGGACATCCCTGATTTCTGTGGACAGAATGTTGGGCTCTTGGCAAGAGATGCAGAGACTCAGCCTTCCATCTGCTGTGTGGTGAATTGGTTTATACTTTTGTGGTTTCTCAGCTTTCTTGCCATTTAAAAAGCGGTTCTGATTGAGGAGTGGGAAATTAGAAAGACAACTCAAAAAACAGGGAACAGTCATCATGCTTTATTAAAAACGTCTGCATCACGACTCATATCTGCAGTATCATAAGCATGTTCCCTGGCAGCAGGGGAAGCAAAGGCAATTTGCTAACTGCCGTTATCTTGCTATTCTTTTTATCCAGTGTTTGCTTTTTCTGGAACCTATACTCTACTCTTTGTGGCTCGAACCCTTCAAGGCATTGGATCTTCTTTTTCATCTGTTGCAGGTAACATTGACAACTTCATTATGCACACACATGCACACACGCATGCACACACACACATACAAACATCTCTTACTACCGCAGACCCTATATTTATATGAAGAAATTAAGGAAAACCTCATCTGTATAGGTAGAAATTGTGATTCAGAAATAAGGGAATTGGTCTGGGCACAGTGGCTCATACCTGTAATCCCTGCACTTTGGGAGGCCAAGCCAGGAGAACAACTTGACTCTAGGAGTTTAAAGCCAACCTGGGCAACATAGTGAGAGCCTGATCTCTATAAAAAATAAAAATGAGTTAGCCAGGCATGGTGGTGTGCTCCTGTGGTCCCAGCCACTTGGGAGGCTAAAGTGGGAGATGGCTTAAGCCTGGGCGGTTGAGGCTGCGGTGAGCCATGATTGTGCTACTCCACCTCAGCCTGGGTAACAGAGCTAGAGCCTTTACTTTAAAAAAAAAAGGGGGGGGTGGGGAGAGAGAAAAGAAACAAAGGAATTATAGAATTGCTGTCAGGGTCCATAGAACCCTGAGCCTGACTTAAATCCCTGTTCTAAGATTCTGATGCAGGTAGCTCAGGTCAGAACCTGCAGTAAAACCATGAAGGCCAGGCTTTTATTTAGTGACACTCAAGGGTCCTTTTTCTGTCTTCCGCTTAGTACTTTATAGGAATAATCATGTTAATACTACTGGTAATACCAGCACAGTTTTCAAAGTATAGCTGAATACAGTATCTAATGCAATCCTGTGAAGTTGGTATTTTATGCCATTTTACCATGACTACAAAGGCCTGAGAGTCCAGCTGCTGTACAGCACCAGCCCACACTCTCTTCCAGGTCTCCAGTGCTTTCTTGCTCTTCCCTGGGCACCCCCACTAGATAGAACGGTCTCTGTCTTCCTAGGTTTTCCTTTCCCTGACCTGCTCTGTAACCCCTCATTCAGGGAAAGGTGCTAGGAAATGAGAAAAGGCTGTGAAACGTGGTATTATCAGACAATGGATTTTCTGTGTTATCCTTCCCAGGGGCCTTGCACTTTCAACGGCATCTTAAACAGCAATGAACAATGTGGGGTTTTGGAAGACTAGGAAGAGAAGTACTTAAAAAATATTATCGGTTAAGTTTTGTAAAACCCCTGGAACTGAAACTCTAGCTAAGATTGTCACTGAAGAGGTAACAGGGTAGGACCAAGGACTCTGAGAGGCAGACAGGACCCCCAGGGGTCAGCTGCATCTGTCACTCTTTGTGCAGGTCTTGGGATGCTGGCCAGTGTCTACACTGACGACTATGAGAGAGGACGGGCCATGGGAATCGCACTGGGGGGCCTGGCCCTGGGGGTGCTGGGTAAGTGGCACCCAAGGAGGATGGAACTCCAGGAAGCCAATGTTCCCGAGGTGTGGAAGACGAATATTTTCCTTCCCTCATTGGCCCTATCCTATTTCAACTCCTTCAAAAATATCACTGAGAAAAGGTGAAATTTCCTTCTCTGTAAGAAGCTGGGAACACATAAGGGCCGGGGAAAGGTCCAGAAGCCCAGCCTGCTGGAGGAAGTGAGCATCCTCGTGTTAGAGGCTGCTGTCTTGCCTTCGTTCCCACGCACACACTGCCAGAGCCTGGCGGTTGTCAGATGCTTTGCTAAATCCATTACAAGCATAATCTCTTATTCCTCACCACCACAAACAAAAGGAGAATGATTGTCCCCATTATAGAGATGAAAATTAGAATGGTGAAATAGCCATCCAAAGTCACACAGCCAGGACATGCAGGAGCCAGGATACAGACTCAGATTTTTCTGGGCTCAGAAACAAGCTCCAAACCATAAAATTACCCTTTCTTTGAGGCTCATCCCTCATACTACTTAACTGACAAGCTGCATACTTTCACGTATTACACACCAAACACAGTGCCAGCACAGTAGGGTGGGAAGCCCCAGGCATAGTTCCTGCCCTCTAGGAGCTTACAAGCTCATTGACAACACCTGTAATCTCTTTCCTGGCCTATGCCCCACCCTCAAGCCCCATGGGGAGCAGAGGAAACAGAATCCCTGTTATTTGTTAGTATCCATCAACTGAAATGGCCAATCTAAAACTGGTGCATTTTGGACTCCTTTATCATGTCCCAAATGAATAAGCTCCCAAAGGAACAAGCTTGTTAGATCCTCGACAGTTAATCCGGGCTCCTTGTCACTTCCAGGTTAGAATTTGGCAGCAGCTTCCCTCTTTTATGTTCCCTCCTTCCACCATGATGCTGCTGAAGAATCTTCCTGAGCCCAGAGCAGGTGGTGTTTCTCCCTTGATATTTCTCCATAGGCCGCAAGGCCAAGTAGATGACTCGTCTGCATATAGAAGGCTCCTGCCTATGCAAGGCTCTACCTTTCTCGTCTCAAATACTCATAGTCTGGTAACACTCACTTTCTTCTTTTTCTTCTTCAGCAACATACTTTTTTCTAACACCTCTGTGTTCTTCACACAAGCTTCTTCCCCTCCAGGTACTCTGCACTTGGCAAAGCCCTCGTGGCTGCCTAGACTTTCTATAACACCTACTGAGCTTTCACTGCATGCAATATTTAACTGTCAAATTTTCACCATGCTTAATTATTTGGGTCCCCCCTACACACGCAAACACACACACACACACACACACACACACACACACACACACACTTCCACTGAGAACAGGGGTCATGTCTCCATCTCTGAATTCCCAAAGCCTCAGGTGTAGCTTAGCCCCTGTTAGGCGTTCTACAAATGCTCATGGGGTAAATGTGGACAATTCTCACTCGATGGGACTCACCCTCACCTCTGGAATCTGTGTCTGCTTTGCCTTTCCAGTAGGAGCACCCTTTGGAAGTGTAATGTATGAGTTTGTTGGGAAGTCTGCGCCGTTCCTCATCCTGGCCTTCCTGGCGCTACTGGATGGAGGTGAGTTACCATTAGAGCCTCCAGCAGCTGATAGCCCAGGTCAGGTTCGGAATGCATGATGCTGTGGTGTCTGTCTTGAGTAAGAATGGGTGGTGTGGACATGTTTTGATGGATCAAGGGCTGCCCCATTGTGGAAAAGAGATAAGAAGCTTAGGGAGTTAAATTTTTACGTAACAGTTTGATAGCACTGTAGCTGTTACTGGAGCCCTCAGCTAATCAGTAGACACACTGAACTGTCTCACCTTCTTTCTTTCTTAGCACTCCAGCTTTGCATCCTACAGCCTTCCAAAGTCTCTCCTGAGGTAAGCAGACACAAAGCTCCATTGCTAACAGATATACAGGATGGGTGAACACAGGAGCCCAGGCATGCCTGCCAAGCCATCAGAAGAAAAGCGAAGAGGAACAGAGTCAGGGAAAGTGAGAACTGTGTCTGAATTCCAGGACAGGGTTACATTTCGGGGAGAGTAGGGGATAGTGAGGTATTTGGCTTGATGTTGGACAAAGATGGTTGAAGAGTCTTTTGAAGAATCAAAGAAGCCATACAGAATATATATATATATATATATATATATATATATATATATATATGGAGATCTCCAGATACATCTGAATAATTATATATGTGTTTGTATATATATTTGGATATCTCCAGATATATATGAATATATACATATATGGCATGAACCATTGCCCATTCTTTCTCTTTCTAACAAACAAACATTATTACTACTAATTTTTTGAGCCAGTTGACAATAAATTGATTATATCATTCCCTTACCACTTGATACTTTAGAGAGTTTTCCCTAAGAACAGGATTATTTCCTTATGTAATGACAATAGAGCTATCAAATGCAGGCAATTTAACGTTGATGCAATACTTATTTGCAGTGCCTACTCTGATTGTGTCAATTATCCCAACAATGTCTTTCATGGGAGCTTTTTGTTTTTAGTCTCTAGTGCAGGGCCTGATCCAGGATTGCGTAATACATTCATGCATCACGTCTCTCTAGTCTCTTTTAATCTGGAAAAGTTCTCAGCCTTTATCTTGCATGACATTGACATATATGAAGACCACAATTATCTATAGGGTATTCCTAAATTTGGTTTGTCTGATGCTTCCTCTTCATACTGTGGCCTTCTGAGTGTCACGTCTGGAGGTATACAGTGCCTGTTCACCTCTCGGTGGTGATGTCCGTTTTGATCAATGGGCCAAGGTGTTGCCCAGGTCTCTTGTGTAGTTATTATTTTTTCACCTTGTAACTAATAAATACCCTGTGGGAGACACTGTCAAATCATATAAATCTCCTACTCCTCCTTAAACTTCCTCTCTGCCTAGATTTGTTATCCATTGATGATTCTTGACTGAACCAATCTTTAATGTTTACAAAATGCTGATTTTTGTAGTTCACCAATTCCTCCAAATCATCAGTTGGCTCTTTGCTGTAAGGAATAGCCATTCTTCCAAGGCAGGCGGATCACTTGAGACCAGGAGTTTGAGACCAGCCTGGCCAACATGGAGAAACCCTGTCTCTACTAAAAGTACAAAAAAATTAGCTGGGTGTTGTGGTGCATGCTTGTAATCTCAGCTACTCTGGAGGCTGAGGCAGGAGAATTCCTTGAACCCAGAAGGTGGAGGTTGCAGTAAGCCAAGGTCGTGCCACTGCACTCCAGCCTGGGTGACAAAGACTCTGTGTCAAACAAACAAACAACAACAACAAAAAAGGAATAGCTATTCCTTTCCTGCATCTTTGTGCTTTTTTCGCAAAACAAATAGTTTATGTGTATTCTTATTTTTCCTTTGTTACATGAAAGGCAGCACACTTGTATTTTTTTTGCTTTCTCCTTTTTTTCTCTCAGTAATATGTTATAAAAATTACTCTATTAGTTCATAGAATCCTTTCTCATTATTTTCCAGCTGTATGGTCTATACATACACACAAAATTGTGTGTGTGCACACAATGGTACACAATTGTATGTGCACCATATTTTATTCCGTGTCTTATGTTTAGGTAGTTTTCAGTATTTTGCAGTGACATATAGCACTGTAATTTGCATCTGTGCATTTTTATAATCTTGGTATTAATCTTTAGAGTCAATTCCTAGAAGTGGGACTGTTGGATGAAAGGGTTTATTGGATTTTTAATGTATATGCTAATGATTTATATCAGTTTCTTTACTTTGAATTATAATGGGGTGAGAGCATGATTTTTTTAGTTTTAGAATCTCTAAATTTCTCAATCCACTATTGTGTGTATGCAGAGAGGTTTATCATACCAAAATGATCAAATCTGTTACAAGAGAGAATGTAGGAAACACCATAAAGGATTAGGACATAGCATTCAGGGTGTTTGAAAGAGGGAGAAGTCCTGGCTACTGAGTTGGGGAATAGTCTGGAAAAGAAGGAGCCGTTTAGGCTTGACCTTAGAGAGTGGGTAGAACGTGGAACTATGGAGAAGAGAAGGGCCTGTAGTTTAGGCAAAGGTAATAATGATGGCTGAGGGACTGCTGGGATGCATGGAAGGAGGGTGGGGCGACGAAGTTTAGATGAGAGTGTGACCTGGATGTTTAGGGTAGAATTGTAACCCGCTTCTTCTACCTTAATGCAGGGTGGCTCAAAATGATCAGAATAAAGAATTCAGAAATCTTGAGAGGCTTTTTGAGTTACAGCCTCTATGCTCGTTTTTGAGATTCAGTGCACTGCCTGTGGTTGTCCCGGGACAAAATTAGTGCCAGGGAGATCTAGTGGAAACCAGGAAGCCAGACACCTATTGTCCAACCCTGGCCTTGCATCCGTGCAATCCACTCTGACCTGGTTGATGGTCATGTGAAGGCAGGAATCATGGCTGGAATATGCTGCTTCTTTATCTGTGACTGCTGCAGTGCCTACCTTGTACACAGGGGCCCTGCCTCCAGCTCCCTTTGTGGCATCAAGCAAGTCACTTTCTCTCCCTGGACTGGGTTTCCTGGTCTCTGCAGTAAAGGAGCTGCCGTAGATGGTCTCTAAGCCCCTAATTGCACCTTCTCGGATTCTGTGAAAATAGGAGAGATACCTACACTGTACAAATGGGCATTATTTTTTTCATCCATGTTCTCAGAGTGCCAAGGGGACTCCGCTCTTTACGCTTCTCAAAGACCCTTACATCCTGGTGGCTGCAGGTAAGCTGGTGATGACCTCCTATTGAACCAGGGGTGTCTGGGCTTCAGACAGCCATGGCTGCTCACAGAACAATCTCCCCAGGGTCCATATGCTTTGCCAACATGGGAGTTGCCATCCTGGAGCCCACATTGCCCATCTGGATGATGCAGACTATGTGCTCCCCCAAGTGGCAGCTGGGTAAGTGACCTCAGTCCCCTGCTTAGGGCCTGGCAGGAGGAGGTGAGCCATGGGTGCTTTCTCTCAGTGTCACACAGGGACAATATGCTTCCTTTGTAGAATGACTTCCCATGTCCACACCTGCGAATCAAGCCCAAGTAGGTGTACGGTCCCTCAGAGAAGCAGTCTGAGAAAGGGGAGGGTGGGAAAGGATGAAAGGGCTATGGAGAGGTCACATACCTGGTTGTGTAGTAGAATGATTAACAATTTCCAGTCCAAGGATTCAGGTTTTTGTTTCAGCTCCTTTGATTGTCTGTGAAAGCTTGAACAAATGCCTTAAACTGTCTAAGCCTTGCTTTTCTGAGTGCTAAAATGAGCATCAAAATACTATCTAGTTCAAGGAAAATTGGATGAATAAATGACATACGAGGTGGAAATGCTTTGCACTATGTACAATATTAGTGTGCACCATTACCATGCCCACGTTCTTCTCCCTTCAACTCGTCATCCTCAAGACTACCCTTTGGCTATCTTTTTTTTTTTTTGACCTCTAAAAGGGTGTTTATGTAGCATTCACTTAGGAAAAGCTACGGGCCCACGAGAGAGAGGTTCTAGCTTCCTCTGTTTATGTAAAGACTTAGAGAGGAGCTTCGGGAGGAGGCTCTAGCCCTTCCCAGGAACCGTCAGGAAAGAGGACAGGGAAGGCTACATGCAAATTGCTCCATCGCTGCAGGGAGGAGAGGCTTACAGGGACAGAAGGGAAGCTGATAAGAACCTGATATAGTTCAGCATGAAATAAAAAGCACTAAATCTAATTTGGGGGTGGGGGGGACAATTCTAAGCAAGACTCCCAGCTGCACTCCCAGTGCCAAATTGAATTTTTATGGGTTGCAAGTGCTTCTGACCATGATGATTAATTGAGTTAGTTGCTGTTCAGTGCAGATGACGCATCCTCTGCCCCAAGGCTCTGGCCACTAAGGCTTTCGATCCTGGTGAGCTGCTACAACACAGAGTATCCCCAGCAGCCTAGGCACCAGCCTCAGTTGCCAGTTACCAATTACTCCATTACAGTTGCTCAGTTACCACCATCTTTTACAGCTTTCCTCAATGTTATCTGGTCTGTGAAGTCGGACATCAAAAGTTGTCCAATAGTTACATCAGAATCACCTAGAAAGTTTGTTGAAACTTTGATTGCTGGGAGCCAGTGAGCAGTTCAGTCAAAATAAGTTTTCATTCCTAGTAAGTTTCCAGGTGATGCTGTTATAGCTAGTCAGTGATTACAGCTTGAAAACTGCTGCTATACATGAAGAGCACCCCTCAAGGTTGTTGAGGGGGACACAGGAGTCCATGCTTTGGAAAGTCATGTATATTCTGCCACTGAGTGCTTGCTATGTGGCCCACCATATGCTAGGTAGCATTATCAAGGGAAGGAAACAGCCCAAGTCCACTTGGGTTTGAATCCTGACCAGGTCACTTACTGATTGTGACTTTGGATAAGTTATTTAACCTCTTTAACCTCTGATATGGTCTGAATGTGTCCTCCAAAATTTATGTGTTGGAAATTGAATCCCCAGGGCAACAGTCTTGAGAGATGGGATCTTTGAGAGATCATGATATCATGGGTATACCCTCATGAATGGATTCAGGCCATTTTCATGGGAGTGAGTTTGCTATAATAAAAAGAGAGTTCAGCCCCCCTTTACCTCTCTCTCATGTGTGCTCTCTCCATATGATGCCCTTTGGCCATGTTATGATCTAGCAGCCAGGCCCTCCCCAGATGAACAAACACATGCTGGAGGCTTGCCCTTGAACTTCCTTGCCTCCAGAACCCTGAGCCAAATAAATCTCTTTTCTTTATAAATCACCCACTCTGGTATTCTGTTATATTATGGCAGATGGAAATGGACTAAGATGGAAAATGGGTACTGAGAAACAGGGCTGCTGCTGTAACAAGTACTTGAAAATATGGAAGCAGCTTTGGAAGTGGGACATTGGTAGAGGCTGGAATAATTTGGAGGAGCAGGCTAGAAACAACTTGTATTGCTGTGGGCAAGGCATTAAGGGTGATCTAGTGAGGGACCAGAAGAAGAGGAGAGCTGCAGGGAAAGTCTGAATCTTCTTAGACTTTGGTTAAGTGGTTGTGACCAGAATGTTGATAGAAATGTGGACAGTAAACGTCATTCTGATGAGGTCTCAGATAGAAATGAGGAACAAAGTATTGGAAACTGGGGTAAAGGCCATCCTTGTTATATAGTTACAAAAAACGTGGTAGACTTGTGTCCATGTCCTAGGACTTTATGGAATGAAGAATGTAGAGGCAATACACTAGGATGTCAGGCAGAAGAAATATATAAGCAGCAAAGCTCCAGGCTGCTGTGTGGCTGTTTAAACTGCATATATAGTGATATGTGAGAGCAAAGAAGTGACTTAAAGGTGAAATTTATGATGAAAAGAGAAGCAAAACAAAGACTTGGAAAATTTGCTGCCTGGCCTTGGAAAGAAGGAACAGGCGTCTTGAGGAGAGCACACCAAAAGTGTGGTCAGGCCACCTAAAGCAGTTAGTGTGGATGAAAGGGAGCCAGGTACCATCTGTCAAGGCTGTGGGAGAAAGATCCCAAAGGCATTTTAGAGATCTTTGGAGCTGTTCCTCCCATTGCTGGCCCAGAGATCTAGGAGGGCAGAATGGTTTGGGAATAAGCCTGGGGCACTCCATGGGCTCACTGCGCAGGACCACCTTGGGGTTATGCTCACTGCATTTCAGTGCAGTGCCCCTTAACTGTGCCAGCCATGGCTCAAGTGGGCCCAGGTGTGGCCTGGCCTCCCACTCACTCTGGAGGGTGCAAGTGGTAAGCCTTGGTGGTGTCTATGTGGTACAAATATTGCAGGTGCACAGAATGCAAGAACTATGGGTGCATGACTTCCTCCACTTACATTTCAAAAGATGTCATGGACAGCCATTTCAAAGGTCACCAAACTGGAGGGGCACCAGCATGGTGGCCTACAAGCACAAGACGCCAACCCATGAGAGCTGCTGGGTGGACTGAGCCCAGAAAAACCATAGGGGTGGGCTGCCTGACACCTTGGGGGGTCCAACCTCCATTCCAGTGTACCCAGGATTTTGAACATGGAGTCAAAGGCAATTATTCTCCAGCTTTAAGACTCAATATCATTCTCTATTTTGGGTTTTGGGTTTTGGGCTTTCTTGGGACCTGTTACCCCTTTCTTCTTCCCTGTTGCTTGCTTTTGAAATAGGAATGTCTATTCTAACCTTGTCCCACCATTGTTTTTGAAAGTACATGCAGTTATCCCCATAGAAGATTGGTTCTAGGACTCCTCATGGATATCAAACTCCAAGGACATTCAAGTCCCTTACATAAGATGGCATCATATTTGCATATAATTTGCATATCTATCTTCAGTAGATTAGATGGATTATAGTACATCCTCATATGTACTATATCTCTAGATGACTTGTAACACCCAATGCAATGTGAATGCTATGTAAATAGTTGTTATACTGTATTGGTTTCTTATTTGTATTATTTTTATTGTTGTATTGTTATTTTTAATATTTTCCCTCAAATATTTTTGATCTGCTGTTGGTTGAATCAAAGGATGTGAAACCTGCAAATACAAAGGGCCCACTGTAATTCATTTTGATTTCACAGGCTCACAGCTGGAGGGAATTTGTATATTGAATCTTACCCATATCTAATTTAGACAAGACTCTGGACTTTGGACTTTTGAGTTTATGTGGAACCAGTTAAGACTTCTGAAACTATTGGGATGGAATGAATGTATTTTGCATTGTGAGAAGGACATGAATTTTGGAGGCCAGGGGTGGCATGCTATTTCCCCCCAAATCTGTGTGTTGGAAACTTAGTCCTGAATGCAACAGTGTTAAGAAGTGGAACGTTTAACGGGTGATAAAGTCATAGGGGCACCACCTTTATGAATAGATTAAAGCAATTATCTTAGGAGTGGGTTAGTTACAAAAGGTGGGAGTTTGGCCCTCTTTTCCTTTCTCTCTTGAATGCCCTTTCTCTATGTGGTACCCTTAGGCTATATTATGACCCAACAAGAAGTCCCTTACCAGATGGCCAGGCACATGCTGGTATCATGCCCTTGCACTTCCCAGCTTCCAGCATCATGATCCAAATACATCTTTCCTCTGTATAAATTACCCAATCTGTGATATTCTGTTAGAGCAGCAAAAAGAACAGAGTCTAAGACAAACTCCAGTTTTTTAATTTGTAAAAATGTAGCTATTTTTCAGGGTTGTTTTGATCTGGTATTTTAAATGGATTAGCACAGTGCATGGAATACAGGATATACTCAGTAAATAAATTTTTTTTATAATTTTAATAATTACTTTTGTTTACATCATTTTGATAGTCACAAAATGTGTAATCCCTTACCCCTTAAAGATTTACTGTGAAAAACAAATGTGTATCTATAGACACATATTCTATTTTTGCATAAAATACTGCTAAAATGTAAGATATAGTCAGATCTAAAGAACAAGCAACATGGATTGAGAAAAATCCAATTCAGGAAATTTTGCACCATTTAAAATGATGTCAAGGAGATCTAGGAGGCTCTCGCATGTCCTAGAGGTGCTTACTTCCACATATTAGATAAACAATTGAGTAGTTTTAATTTTTTTCACCAATTAAATATAAACAAATGGGTACGGTTTGCAATGGATTGCCACCTGTCCAGATAGCCTAGACAAATACACCAAGGTGTGCTTACTTCCCCTCCATAGAAGAGAATATTAAAAACAAACAAGCTGTCAGCCAATAACTGGTCAAGTGTTGACTTTTGATTTTATTGTAGTTGCCATGGTATTTTTTGTTAGGCTGTATTGTTTTTTTCTAGGTATAGAGAGGAATTAAAAGGGTTGGTGAAATCCAGAGAAACTCACTCTGCTGATCTCAACCAGTCCCTTATACCAGAGCCATCTGTGCAACCCCACTGAGGATGTAGGGTAGTGGAAACACCTGGAATTAGAGTGAGACGGACTGGACTCAAGTCCTGACTCTGTCACTCACCAGTTATGATGATAATAATCAAGACCAGTGCTTGTAGGGCACTTACTCTGTGACAGGCACTATGCAAAATGCTTGATATGTATTATTTCATTTAAACCTCACAACTGGCCTGCCTGGTCTGGTAGAAATTATGATTATCTCCATATTTCAGAGATTTCTTGATCTGACTCAATTTCCCAATGCTCTTTCAAATCCTGAGCCTCTTACTAGCAAGCATTCTATGCCCTCATCCTTGTCTCTGAGCGTGTCTTTCATCTTCTTGCCCTACAGAGACCCAGATGTTTTCTGTGAACGTTGTTTTTCTGCAGCACCTAGATGGAAGTTCATGTTCCACACCTTGCTCTCTTTGCTGCTTCTAAGTCATTTCTTCTCTGTTCTCCTTCAAAGACCTCAACTCCTTTGAAGATCATGTTAGATGACACCAGCCCACCCTTCTTCATTGTAATCATCTAGTGACCCCTTAGTTGCCCCTCCTCATTCTCCTCATTCATTAAAGCTGTCGACATATGGTGCATGTTCTTTTCACCTCTACTCCTGTCATCATTTTTGGTGACTTCAATATCCAGGTGGGTAACTGGATCTTGGCCTCCTAATTCCTTAATCTATTCTTTTGCAATGAGCCTTTTTTCCTTTCTGCCTTAACTAATTTACTCCTATCTATGTCCCCACCTCGTGTATTAGTTCATTTTGCATTGCTATAAAGGAATATCGGAGGCTGGGTAATTTATTTTAAAAAGGAGGTTTATGATTCTCTAGGCTGTACAAGAAGCCTCGCACCAGCATCTACCTCTGGTAAGGGCTCACAAGGCTTACAACCTTCGAGGAAGGCAAGGGAAGCCTGCATATCACATGGCAAGAGAAAGAGCAAGAGAAATGAGGGGAGGTGCCACGATCTTTTAAACAGCCAGCTCTTGTGTGAACTTACAGAGCAAGAAGTCACTCATTACCATGAGGATGGGGACAGCATCATGCCGTTCATGAGGGATTCATCTCCATGACCCAAACATCTCCCACTTACCCCCACCTTTAACATTGGAGATCAAGTTCTAACATGAGATTTCAAAGGGACAAATATCCAAGCCATATCACCTTGACATCAGTATTAATTACATTTCCTCTGAAATCTCAATTCCAAACAATCCACGTATCATCTTACATATTCCCTTCTCAGATGTTCTAATGGTCCCTATCAACAATTTTTGACCCATCTGGGATCATCAGTTCATTGGCCTCAGTAATTTTTCTTCCATCACTACTCATGTCCTCACTTATTTCTTTGCTCAATGTGGATTCAATGGCCCATGGTTAATGTCACTCCTCTGAAACTCCTCTCTCCCTTTGGGCTTGTCACTTGGCAAAGACTTAACTCTAGCTAAGCTATCTTGTTGCCTACTCCTTGTCTATAACTGAGCCATGGCCTGCGGCTGCCAAAAAACACACAACCAGTCTGTTTGGTCTCACTTTATATTTATGGCCACAAATCTAAATTGGGTTTCACACTGTCCAGCAATCTTTCTGTAAGTCCCTAGTTCTGTTCTTCTTCTTTTCCAAAATGACTGTTTTCTATTTCTTTGTTTTAAACTCACATGCACTCCCAGCCCTTCACTATCATCATTCTCAGCTGTTGACTTTGCCATCTAGTCACTGAGAAAACGGAAGCAATGAGAAGGGAACTCTTATGTTTCCATCACTAAATGTACCCAATTTCCTGAACCTGTGCCTACATTCACAGCCTTCTCTCTAATTATGTTGGAGCATCCCAGCCCTGATCAAAGGCCAGACTCCTCTTTTGGATTCCATCTCCCCTCACCTTCTTCATTGGCTGCTCCTCATCACCTGTGCTGTCTCTGCCTTCTTTGCTAACTTTTAAGGGTAGGAGTCCCCCAAGGCTCAGTCCTTGGATCTCTATTTTTTATTTAGTCTTTCATAGGCAACCCCATCCATTTGCACGGCTTTCAGAACCGTGTGCAAACCAATGTCTCAAATTTCTCTCTCCTTGGAGCCCCAGATTTGCATATCTAACTGCCTGACAGCTCTGCTTGGATATCTAATAGTCACTTCAAACCTCTCATGTTTCCCCGCATTCTTGCTCTCCCACCAGTCGTCTCTATCTCCAGCTTCCCAATTGATTAAGACAAAAACCTAGGTTATCCCTGATTTCTCACTTCCCCTCCTCCTGCTATATCAGTACCCAATCCAACAGAAAATGCCACCAACTCTACCTCCAAAACCTCCCATTTTATTCACTTCTCCCCATCACTTTTCTGTGGGATTCTGCAAATAGTTCTGGCTTCCACTCTTGTTCCATGAACCCATTCTTCCAAGGGACTTTAGAAAATATAAATCCAATTATGTCATTTCCTTCCAAAGCTTCCATCACCCTTGGAATAAAATGCAGGCTCTCTCTAGGGACTTCATTTTCTCACCCTCCACTTTCCTCTAATGTGTCAGCCATACCGATATCCTTTCTACTCTTAGAACAGACTAAATAATTTCTTTAAGGGCTTTTAATTTGCATGAGGTGCTTCCTATTTTCTGCTTGAAATGCTGCCTTTTGGTTATTAAGGTCTCAGCTTGAATGCCACTTCCCCAGAGAAGCCTTCCTCAACTCCAACATCCCAGGGAGCCCTTTTGAGTCACTCTGCCATATCACCACATTAAATTTCCTACACATAACTCAACACTTTTCAAAATTATCTTTTTCTGTGCATTTGTTTCCCTGTTTGTTGTCTGTCTCCCTCCCCTGGAGTATAAGCTAGCCAAGAGCTAGAATTTTGTTTGTCTTATTCAACTCTGTATTCCCAGCCCCCAGAGTATCTGGCATGTGGCAAAAGTTTGTTAAAATGAATGAATGAATGGATGAGACTCAGAGAGGGTAAGTAAAGTGTCCAAAGTCACAGAGCTAACAAGTCATCAAGCCATGATTTGAATGCAAAATTTGGAGCTTTGCTCCAAAGTCCATGTTTCCAGAGTACTTCCCTGTGTTGTCACCAAAAACCATGTGGCCAGACTTCAATTTACAAAATATTTTTATATGCATTATCTAATTTGCTCCGCACTGTAACCTGGTAAGATGTAATTATAGCTTTGCTTTTTCCAAATGTAGAAACCAAGGCTCAGAAAGGTTTAGTAATTAATCCAAGCTCCCCCTCAGAGCAATAGAAGGGCAGGTAAATAGCAAGGCAGGAATTCACTTCCCAGGAAGCATGTATGGGTATATGGCACCCAACCACACCACCTCTGAAGCTCAAATTTTCATGCTGATAACCAAGGGTATTTTATACATGAGAATGGCTCACCGGGGTTATTAATTAGGAATCTAAGTGGGGAGCTGGAAGCACATTAAATGTACTGACGCTAGGCCAAGTGCAGTGGCTCACATATGTAATCCCAGCACTCTGGGAGGCCGAGGTAGGCAGGTCTCACCATGTTGCCCCAACCTGGGCAACATGGTGAGACTCCATCTCTAAAAATAAATAAATAAATAAATAAATAAATAAATAAAAAGAAGAAAAAAACAAAATAAAACTAGGTGTGGTGGTGATCACCTGTAGTCCCAGCCACTCTGGAGGCTGAGCTGGGAGGATTACTTGAGCCCAGGAGGTTGAGGCTGCAGCGGGCTGAGATTGTACCACTGCACTCCAGCCTGGGTGACAGAGTGAGAACTTGCCTTAAAAAAATAAAAGTACTGAGGCTAAACAAAGCCCTGCTCCCGAAGAAAGCAGAGGTGTGAGGTCCTGTGGCAACTACTGTGGGTTTGCAAAGATCCCCAGATCATAAAACACAGTGGCTTGGGGATCTTAGAAGGTTACAGGGGTGGACTTCATTGTCTTGTAGGAGACCAGGCATTTGAGAGTAAATTGAACATGTCCTAAGGTAAGCATCTGTGTCCTTCCCCAGGTCTAGCTTTCTTGCCAGCCAGTGTGTCCTACCTCATTGGCACCAACCTCTTCGGTGTGTTGGCCAACAAGATGGGTCGGTATGTAGCCTGGGGATCTAGGACGAACAATAGAAATGTAAGATGGGAGAACACCTGTCCCTGTTCCTAGAATGATGAACAGCTTCCCCAGGGTTGAAAGTTTAGGACAAGTACACACTGATAAAAACTTCCCATCTGGAAGATTGGTAGTGGGTGGGTGGTGAGGGCAGTATGGAGAATGGATAGTCTTGAGCTCTGAGCTGATTGGTATAGAAGAGGCAGTGGAGACATGAGGGGTAGCTCTTACTTTCCAGCCATTTACTGTCCAGTTGAAGAGATAAAATAACCACAACAAAGAACAGCTATGAAAAAGGCAGTACTTTGGGAAAGTGGTTTTCAAATTATGTTCCATGGAACCCTGGGGAGTTCCATGGCCACTGAGGAGGAAGGTTTGGGGGCCAAGAGGTATCAGTCTAGATTCTGTTCCTCCACTGTAGTAAGGACAGCTTTAATTTCATCTTTGGAGTTCAGCACCAAGATTTTAGAAGCACTGCCATAGGACATCAGAGAAGGAAAGAAGTTTGGTACTTTCTGTGGTTTTTGAGGTGGACCTCAAGGACTAAATAAAATATGGACAGATGGGAGGCAGTCTGAGCTGGGCAACAGCATGAGTTAAGTTTGAGGGCTACTTCCAAGGGTCAAGTGCCTTCTGAGTCAGCTGATTCCTCCTGTAAGGGAAGGAAAGATGTGTCTATGGCACCTCCTCTGCCTTTACTATAGAAAGAGGAGGTGGAGCCAGTGGGCACGAGGAAAGGGCAGGGAGAGAGCTCAGTTGGGTCCAAACTGGTAATGTAGGGATGCAGTCCTCAGGTCCTAAGGGGTTGCTGGGATTAGAGCTGGTGGGACAAGCCAGCATAGTGGTGATTGGGTGCAGGTGTTGGGGAGCTCTCCTCTAGCAGTGTTTGATGATGGCTGTTTTCTTCCAGGTGGCTGTGTTCCCTAATCGGGATGCTGGTAGTAGGTACCAGTTTGCTTTGTGTAAGTATAATGAGACCTGGGGGAGGGGGAAGAGAAAGAGATAGTGAGAGAGCAAAAGAGAGAGTGAGAGAGAGGAGAGAGGAGAGGAGAGAGGAGAGAGGAGAGAGGGGAGAGGAGAGAGAGAGGGGAGGAGAGAGGAGAGAGAGAGAGAGAGAGACCCAGACATTTAAAGACTACTTTCCTTTAAAATCAGCAGAGTCAGCTTGGCAAGGACTGTTAGAAAGACTGTTTCTGAGTAGGCAGGAATTTAGCACTGGGGGAGATGCCACCAGCTGCACTTTCCCCTGTCTACTGTTTACCAGCTGGAAGTACAGCTAGAAGGCTGTCCTCCCAGGGTCCTGGAGCTCTTTGACCCTGAGACATTCTCCAGATCAACGGCTTCCCATTGAGGGGAAGTGGGAAAGGAGAGGGAGAGGGCTGTAGGGCAGCTGGAGCCAGAGGTCTGAGGCTCTGTGTGTGGGTATATGAAGTGATACATGTTGGTATCCATTTCTGGGAGCAGCAAATGGTGCATTTTATGACTTCATTTACTCATCCCACCTGACAGATCCTCATAAGTCCCCAGGGAGCCATCATTTATGCCCCAGTCCCTGGCACCAGAGGCTTGATAGAAGAAGAAAGAAAGAAAGACTTTCCCATTTCCAGGAGTCCTCCTCAAGCTCTCTAAGCCTTCATTTTCTCTTCTTCCCCAGTGGAGATGAGAAACACAGAAACCTCCTAGGATTGAGGGAGAGAAAAATAGGGCTACAAGGCACTGTACGCTGTGCTCAAGACCAGCTGGCAGTCCTGAGCAGGAGCATAGGATCCAGGTTCCATGGCAGGTTTGCCACTTTCTGTGCATGTGACTTTGAGCGGGTTACCTCATCTCTGTGTGCTCAGTGTCCTCATCTATGTCGAGAAAGTTCTGATGGTGTCCGCAGGGCTGTTGAGGTAATCCATGCAGACCACAGTGTCCAGCACGTGGTGAGCCCATAGAGAGTCTCAGCCAATACTATTGATAAATTATACACATTTCTTGAGACACGAACCCTAAAAATTGTTATCAACCAGTAACATCTAAACAGTATGCTAAACCCTTGAGAGGTAAGGGCCCTGGGGTAGCAGATCTGAGTGACAGGTGCCCAGAGAGGGGGATGAGGAACCTACAAAAGAGGGAAGAAAGGGTTTTTGTTGGGAGACTAGGAGGGCAATGGGAATGAGTCTTACAAGCTCCCTGACACAGCACCCAAACCACACCACCTGCCCCATCTAGCTTACAGCTAACTGGTTGTTGGGGTATCTTCTCTGTCTTCTTTCTCCAACAGCTACCATGTTAGAAGTCTAAACAAAACCTTTGAGTGAGATCAGTAATGGAAAACAGAGGCAATTTTAGTCCATGAAGAATGAGTCCAGGAGTGTGTGTTTAGGTGGAGAGCGGTAGAGGAAGGGGAGGAAGTATCCACATTAGAGCATAATGGAGTCAAGTCTGAGGTCCAGATTTGATCCTGCCACTCATTAGATCTGTTAACTTTGGAAAGCGCAATAAGCACAATGTCACTGGTCAAGTTGTCATATCCTTGAATTGGAGGTGTAGGTTCTTCTGTGAGGAGGTGTGAGAGTACAGGAGGATGATGTATGTGGCCAATAGCGCACTCTGAATAAACACATGTCATGTGAAAACTCGTTGAACCTTGCTCCCGTCTGACCCATCTGGAGTCCTGATGAGTCTTCCTTTTTCTCCTTGCAGGTTCCTCTGGCTCACAACATTTTTGGTCTCATTGGACCCAATGCAGGCCTTGGTCTTGCCATAGGTAAGAAGTGCCCTCAAAGGAAACAAGAAGCCCCTGAATGTTAGCTTTGGGTCTGATGCCTTTCACTCCCTCCCTTTTCTCATTAGAGGAGGTAGATGGAGAGGCAGAAGGAACAGGAGGGAAGCTGGCAGGGATATAGAGAGATGAGCTCCTAATTCCCACCTGGAACAGGTGTTGGTCTGAGGGAGAGGACAGTAGGCAAAGCCAGTGGACTAATGGAGGAGCAGAGGAGGGGATGTGGGTGGGGCTGACTGTGGGTGAAGCTGACTGTGTCCTGTATGCTCTGGCCACAGGCATGGTGGATTCCTCTATGATGCCCATCATGGGACACCTGGTGGATCTACGCCACACTTCGGTGTATGGGAGTGTCTACGCCATCGCTGATGTGGCTTTTTGCATGGGCTTTGCTATAGGTATGTTGGCAGGACCTGGTGCCCCACTTTCCCCTATCTACTGTTTACCAGCTGGGAGTGCAGCCAGGAGGCTATCCTCCTAGGACCCTGGAGATCTCTGACCCTGAGACATCTTCTGGGTCACCCATTGCCCTAGCATAGCATCTTATGAGTGATGGAGGCTCCATAGACACTTGTGACTTTGATGTGTCTCTCCCAGGTCCATCCATTGGGGGTGCCATTGTGCAGGCCATCGGTTTCCCCTGGCTCATGGTCATCATTGGGGTCGTCAACATCATCTATGCTCCACTCTGCTACTACCTGCGGAGCCCCCCAGCCAAGGAGGAGAAGCTTGTAAGGAGCTCTGACTGAAAAAAAAAATTACTTCTGTTTCCTTCCATCATCTCTCTCATTCCATTTCATCCTGGGCTATTATTTCCTTCCTCTATTCCTGTGTTGATACTCTGTCTGCTTTGCCATGTTTCCCAATCCCCTTTCATCTTCATATTTCTTTTGTGTGCTTCCTTAATTTCCCTTCTCTAAGTAATCACTTCGTCTCTTTCTGGGGCTGTCAGGAAGGGTCTTAAGTAGAGAAGGGAAATGGGGACAGAGGACCATCAAAGATATCCTATAGTTACTGTTCCTAGCTTGCTAGCTACTAGCAAGGTGTGAATTATCGAGTTATCTCCCTCATAAGTGAGCAGAATTCCATTGGCACATCTGTTCATTCACTCTAGTGCACCCTTATCCTTACCAGGTGACCTTTTCGAAAGTACAAAAACTGGGGCTGGATGTGGTGACTCATGCCTGTAATCCCAGCTCATTGGGAGGCTAAGGCAAATGGATCACAAGGTCAGGAGTTTGAGACCAGTCTGGCCAATATGGTGAAACCCTGCCTCTACTAAAAATACAAAAAATTAGTTGGGTGTGATGGCCTGTACCTGTAGTCCCAGCTGCTTGGGAGGCTGAGGCAGGAGGATCACTTGAACCCAGGATGCAGAGGTTGCAGTGAGCCAAGGTCCCACCACTGCACTCCAGCCTGGGCAACAGAGTGAGACTCCATCTAAAAAAAAAAAAAAAGGGAGGGGGGACAAAAACACCAAGGAAGAGATCCACACCATAGAATTTTCTTTAATGATGCACTTTCGTCTTACTGTAGCACAAGCATCCTGAGGTCCTTGACTGCTTTGGGATGGCTACAGAGGCTGCTCAAGGGAACCAAAGAGGACAGGAAGGTGTGATAGGGAGTGGTGTTGATTCCACTACCACTGTTCGATTCAATTAAAAGTTTGTGAGATATTTGTCCTGACAAGAGTTGGTATACTAGGTACCTCGGGAGGCCAGTGCATGCACTTTCTCGAGTTCTCAGCAATGCCAGCCTCAGATGAGCTAGTGGGGAACAGGATGGGGAGACTGGTAAAAAAAGATGTGCAGTGGCTTCTCTTCTTGCCTCTCACTGCAGGCTATTGTGAGCCAGGAGTGCCCCATGGAGACCCGGATGTATGCAACCCAGAAGCCCATGAAGGAATTTCCCCTGGGGGAGGACAGTGATGAAGAAACTGACCATGAGGAGTAGCTGCAGAAGGTGCTCCCTGAATTTCATGCCTCAGTGACCACGTCTTTCCCTGGGACCAGATCACCATGGTTGAGCCCAGGGCTCAGTGGGCTTCACATCCCTCTCCCTGGGTATTTCTTTCTTCCCATGGACACTGTCCCCAATGCTCTCTCACCTGTGTAACCCGTAGCTCTCCCTCTATGCCTCAGTGGCCCATCTTTTGTGGGAGGACAGAGTGATGCACCCTCCCAGGCTGCTGTGAGGTTGATTAAACTTGAGCTGTGATGGATTCTGCAAGAGGTGACTCATTTCATGGAGGCGGCAGTGAGCAATATGTGCCTGGAGCCAGTGGCGCGACTGACAAACCTCGCTTATCTGTTGCCTGATTTTCTTTGGCATAGTTCCAACAGACTGTAAGAGTTTTATCCTCTGTTCCTCAACATGTCTCTTCCTGGGTTTTCCCAGCTGAGTTGAGAAAATGTTCTCAACATGTCCTGCCAAGTGCCAGCTTGAAGAGTTTTTTGCTTTTTTTTTTTTTTTTTTTTTTTTTTTTTAAATAAAGTGAGTGATTTTTCTGTGGCTAAATCTACAGCTGCAAAGAGGGCTTTACCCTCAGTAAAAAGCATCTTCTATTTTCGTTATTATTCAGAAAGGGGAAGAGCCCATTTCTCTTATGCTGGAGTTATTGACATTCTCTTAACCTCCCCTGTGTGTTCCTATCTTTTCTGAACCTCTTAGACTCTTAGAAATGAAAGTAGAAGAAAGGCAGAAAAATAATTCATAAGACCCAATATTTCATGGGAAGTAGTGAAAAGAAATCCCTCCCGATTGTAGATTTCCTAATAGGAGGAGTGTAATGAGGCATTGTTCATACTTGCTAATAAATACATCATTGCCTAATTCAGACCTGGTAAACTAGATGGTTTTTGTAGCAAAAGAAAGTGTGTGGGCAAATAGAGCAAGTACTTTAAATATTCTCACACTGTGCTACCTTTTTGAAACACTTATTGGGTGATGGGATTTCAAAGAGATGGGAGACATGGTACCCCCCTAAGTAGCTCCCCATCGATTTGGGCAAACAGGATGTGCACAATATAAAAGATGATTAATGCTGCAAGTTAGTATACATTTTGTGTTCAGGTACAAGGTGCTCATAGGCTGGGTGGGAAATAATGGCAGAGATAGAGGCAGAAGCAGGATGGAGAGGCCCACAGAGACAGGCTTCTAGGGTACCTGGATATCAGATTGGAGTTTTCAGACTTTATCTGAAATAAAACCTGGCTCTGATTTTTGCACTGCTCTGTAGAAGTTTGCTGGCTCCAGTACAAAACCTGAATCACCAGAGCACATTCAAGCTGAACCTTTCAATGAATCTTTATCATGCAAACGATAGATACCTGACCTACTGATGTGTTTTTAGGGGGCTGGCATTAATTAGACTCACCTGATTTCCAAAACCAGCTGTATTATAATCATCTTTGGTCAGGATGACATTTTTTTCAGATTTTGAAGGAGCCCAAAGGTGAAATTAGAAAATTGTGTGTCAAAATATATAAACTGTAAGTACAAAGGCACAGTGAGTGAATGACCACTGGGATGCCTTACACAGGGGGCAGTAGGGTGGCGCTGGATGGGGAGCTCTGGAAGCGATAGCCTGCTTACTCTCACATCCACCTGGGGCAGGGTTTATAATAAAGGCTGGGCTTGTTACAGAAATAAACACATTTAAAAAATGTGATTTTTTTTTTTCAGAGAAACTCATTCCTGGCTTGCCAACTAACATTATTTGAACAATATGCAAAGATATGGATAAAGGGAAGCCAATGGATACAATTTGAGACTTTTAAAACAATTCTTGACAAGGGTCAACTCCAGGCCAGGTTCAGTGGCTCACACCTATAATCCCAGCACTTTGGGAGGCTGAGGCAAGAGGATCATTTGAACCCAGAAGTTCAAGACCAGCCTGGGCAGCATGGTGAAACTCCTCCTCTCCAAAAAAATTAAAAAATTAGACAGGCATGGTGGTGTGTTCCTGTAGTCTCAGCTTCTTGAGAAGCTGAGGCAGGAGGATCTTTTGAGCCCGGGAGGTGGAGGCTGCACTGAGCAATGATCATGTGACTGCACTCCAGCCTAGGCAACAGAGTGAGACCCTATCTCAAAAAACGAAGACAACACCAAACGCTACAAGTAAGTTAGGACACTTTATAGATCAGAAGTAGGTTAAAGAACATAAATGTAGCCTATATATGGAAGAGTATAAAAAGGAGAATTCCACAAAAATAGGAAATGGAATTTTAGTTTTTATTAGTGGCCTTACAAATGCTATACAGAAAAGAATGCACAGTAAACTCCCTGTATTCACAGGTCAGATGAATTTCTTCTAACAATGAAAATGCCACCCTTCACGGAGGAGCTACAAGCAGTTTCCTATGAAAGTGTCATAAAATGGCATTCAACTCCACTCCACTGTGGGACAGTTGAAGACATGCATTTTCCTTGCAGAGACTACGGCCAGGCACAGTGGCTCACACCTGTAATCCCAGCACTTTGGTAGGCCAAGGCAGGTGGATCACCTGAGGTCAGGAGTTCGAGACCAGCCTGATCAACATAGAGAAACCCCATTTCTACTAAAAATACAAAATTAGTCAGGCATGGTGGTGCATGCCTGTAATCCCAGCTACTCTGGAGGCTGAGGCAGGAGAATCACGTGAACCCAGGAGGTGGAGGTTGCAGTGAGCCGAGATCATGCCATTGCACTCCAGCCTGGGCAACAAGAGCGAAACTCTCTCTCTCTCTCTCTCTCTCTCTCTCTCTCTCTCTCTCCATATATATATATATATACATGGAGAGAGACAGAGAGAGAGTGAAAGATGGGCTTTCAACCACCAATTACCATGTAGCAAAGAAGACAGTGCAACCGATGAGCTGTAGTGCTCAATAAGCCAGGAAAACGTTGGACTTTATCAGAGCATTGGAAACAAAGCAGAAGCAGGAAAAACATAGCGGCTCCACACTAGGGTGGGAGCTACAGCACCTTAAATTCAGGTGGTAACTACGGAGGCTGAAGAAATGCAGAGAGCATTGATGAACGGGTGGCATGAACGGCAGTGCGGCAAGTAACAGGAAAGTTCTTATGGGGAGGAACCCAAATTCAAGAGGATATTATTAAAGTAGCCTATACCTTTAAGAAGACCCAGTGGTGATGGCCACAGTCTCAGAACACCTCCACTGGAGGAACTCTAAAAATGATCAGAGGGCTAGCACTAGGGTGAGTATTAGGAAATATTTTCCCCCACTGTTTTGTCTTACTTACGGAATTGACTTTTCCAAGATAAAGCCTAAGCTGCATAAAAAATATATATTTTTAAATTATAGAGACAAGATCTTGCTGTCACCCAGGCTGGGGTACAATGGTGCAATCATGGCTCACTGCAGCCTCTACCTCCTGGGCTCAAACAATTCTCCCACTTCAGCCTTCTGAGTAACTGGGATTACAGGTGCATGCCATCACACCCAGTGTATTTATTAATTTATTTTTTAATTATTTTTTGTAGCGACAGAGTCTTGCTTTGTTGCCCAGGCTTAAAATAAATTTCCTGATAACATTGGACCCTATTCCTGGAGGCAGCTCTGTAATGCTTGTACGAGTCAGTCATCTGAGGTTTACATGAAGAAAGGGTGGTGCAGCCCTTCCACACAGCTTCCCTGGATGTGTGGCTGATTCTCTGCAGGCTTTGACACCCCAGGGCTGCTGTGTTACACAATTCAGTCCCGCTGAGCTCACCCCTACAATTTCGAGTATGGGACGGGAGAACTTTCTCTGCAACGAGGGAGGATTGGAGCACTGTGGCTTTGGCACACAGCACTCTCTGCTGTTGCTGGGAGGGGCTCAAGGAGAAATGGTCAAGTCACAGGTGGCTGAGGGAGGACTGAATCAGGAGTAAACACACCTAATCCTGAGGCCCTAGCCTAACTCCAATGCTAACACACCTAATCCTGAGATCCTAGCCTAGCTCTGATGCTAGCTAGCTGTGTGTGGGGGAAAAGTCATTTCACATCTCTGGCCTTTGGCATCAACTTCTGTAGCTCTGGCTTTCTGTGCCTCCATCTGCCACTGGCTCATTTTGGGGTGACTTTCTGTGAGCTCAGAGGCAAGACCTGAGCAAGGAGCCAAAGACAGAGGTGAGAGGTCAAAGCTGAGAGCCAGCATCACCCCAGAAACACAAACGTCACTTCAGGTTTCATTTGCTGCTTTCAAGAAGTAATTAGAAGTAAAGTGTGTTTCATCCCCTCCCCTTCTTCTCGCCCTCCTGGTCCTCCTCCTCCCTATCTTCCTTCTCCTCTTCTGGCTCCCCTCCTCTCCTGCTGTCCCTCCTCCTCTTCCTCCTCCTCCTCCTCCTCTTCCTCCTCCTCCTCCTCCTCTTATCTCATCCTCCTCTCCTCCTCCCTGCTTCTTCTTTCCTCTTTTTTCTTTTATCTGGAGAAGGAAGAGTACAGTGTTAGCAGAGGCATGAGCGTGGCCAAGGTCTTTTAGGATTTGTCATCCAAATTGAGTCATTATGTGATCTCTGGAAATCACAAGGGAGAAGAGTGCAGTTTGGGGATCATATTTTCCTTGTTTTAGCCACATTTAACCCAGGTCAGTAATTGACAGTTCGTCTTCTTTTTTATTTTATTTTATTTTGGGATGGGGTCTTGCTTGTTGCCCAGGCTGGGATACAGTGGCACGATCTCCGCTCACTGCAACCTCTGCCTCCCAGGTTCAAGTGATTCTCCTGCTTCAGCATCCCAAGGGGTAGCTGGGATTATGGGCATGTGCCACCAAACTGGGCTGATTTTGTATTTTTAATAGAGACAGGGTTTCGCCATGTTGGTCAGGCTGGTCTGAAACTCCTGAGTTCAGGCAATCCACCTGCCTTGGCCTCCCAAAGTGCTGGGATTATAGACGTGAGCCACCACACCCAGCTGGCAATTATTCTTATTAGAATAGAATTGCAAGGTTCTGGGTGTGCCGAGGGGTGGCTGATCAGGTCCAGGGCACAACATGTTGCTGAGCAAATCATCACAGGAAAGCAGGAAGTTTTGTGTGTTCAGGCGTGTCTCAATGTGTAGGTGGCCTGGTGCTCAAGGTAGATCTGTCATGAATTCATGGAATGCCAGGGAGGGTGGGGAAGCAGTGTTACAATGTTGCAAAGCAAAGCCCTCTGGGGAATCTCCACTACATAGACACAGTGTGACAGTGAAAACTTTATTTGTAACGTGAGAATGACACTGTTGTAACAGGAGTGTAATTAAGATGAATGAGGTAATAAGAAACAGAGAAAGAACATATTTTGTAAACCATAAAACCCTATTTAAAGCCAGACGCAGTGGCTCACGCCTATAATCCCAGCACTTTGGGAAGCCGAGGGGGGAGGATCACCTGAGATCAGGAGTTCAAGACCAGCCTGGCCAACATGGAGAAACCCCATCTCTACTAAAAATATAAAATTAGCTGGGCACGGTGGCGCATGACTGTAATCCCAGCTACTCGAGAGGCTGAGGCAGGAGAATCACTTGAACTCAGGAGGTGGAGGCTGCAGTGAGCCAAGATTGTGCCACTGCACTCCAGCATCTCAAAAAAAAGACAAACAAAAAAATCCCGACTTTTTCTTTTCTTTCCTTCTTCTCTTCTTCCTCCTCCTCCAGGCTCCTCTTTTTAAAAGTTTCAAAAAAAAGCATGTAAAGTGCATGAATTTTAAGTGTGTGCTTGATACATTTATGTGTTTGTGTAACTACCACTCAGAACAAAATACAGAACACTCCCAGCACTGCAGAAGGCTCCCTTCAGCCCCTCCTCTGTCAATACCCACCCACCCCAGAGGTAACCACTGCTCTGACTTCTCTCCTCGTCAATTACTTTTG